GCCTAACTTTTGTCAATAAAAAATATCGATTTATATGTAACTTGGCATGCTCTATCTAATGAGCATAGTGAGATCCACCCGGCCAAAACTTTTGTATAAAGCGGGCGGACCTGCGTGGAAACACCCAGTGGACAAAACAGAATGACAATTAGTATATTCTAAAATAAATGTAGCAGAGTAGAAAAAGACTTGAAATATTTTGAAAATAGTATTCTGATAAAGAAAATCGACTGAAACATTCAATTAATTAACGAGATTGCATTTTAAAGTTGAAGCTAAACTACAGGGAAATAGTCCAAACTAAACTACATACTAAATATTTGTTCTATTAAAGCTTTATTTAAAGTTAATAAAGATGTGTAATTTCGTTGTGAAAGATACACAGTCGGAAAACAATTGATATTCATTGCTCGTGTCGTTTCCTGCCACGGTATTCCTTTACATTCTGCTAATTGTTTTGGTGTTAAAGGCAATTTATTATACATCTGAAAGACAAGAACATCTAGTATTTAAGCGAAAATATAAATAATAGTTTTTCTACTTTTGGTAAAGCTGAACTGTTTGTTGCGTGCTTTTGTACAGTTGCACGCTGCAGTATTGTTTCGAAATATGAAACATGCGATGTTGGAGGTGGTGCTAAAAAATCACAATTAAATGGAAAATAAAAGGTAGAAAGTTGCTCTTTTGGCTTTGAAAAGACTTTAGAAATGTAAAAATCTTTTATTTAAAAAGCAACATACGAATGTAAGTAGCCATTATTTTGGCATTTTTTTCTTTCAAACGTGTAATTTCGGCACGAAGATTGGCAACTATCATTTCACACATTATATTTTTGCAACCTACAGATAAAAAACTTAATTTCGCTCTAAATTCATTTCTAGCCACTTAAGCTCTAGTAAGATTTCATATTTCATAGTGAAGCCTACTGTAAAAGACTCAGTAAAACTTTTTACAAAAATTCATATATGATGCAGTAAAAAGAATCTAAAAATTGAGATTAATAATCTTTTGGTTATTAAAGATAAGTTATTATACAAAATAGGTTTTGTTTAGAGTGAACGTACTTTCTAGTTCGTAGAACCGTTCTTAAACAAACGTATATCGCTTTACGATTTTTTTTGAAAATCAATATTGCGGCAATATTGATTTCAAAAACTTACAAAAGGCCACGCTAATGGGATTGCTAAGAATTTCGCGTTCAAAAAAGTGCTACACAGTTTTTATCCACAGAGTTCTAAGTATTTGAATCCAAACAAACTGACGATGCCTTTTAATTTACTTTTAGCACACCAGTCTGAGAAGATGCAGTAATGGCGGTACTAATAACTGGTTGTGAATGTACGATTGGCATATATTGTGATGATGGAAATGTCAATGGTGTTAAATTTTGGTGAACAATTGAAGAACATTTGTTTCTGGGAATTGTGGATGAAAGTGTTGATGGTTCATCTGAAGACTTCGGATTAATGATTTTTGAACCAGAAAACGTGATAGAAGATGCTAACATTGACGGTGGAGATGAAGTACTGATGGAAGGTGCAGAAGAGGTGTCAACTGCTACTGATGCTTCCATGTTTGTATTCGACAAAAGCACCGCAATTAATCAAACATGGAAAACATAATTACCATCGATTTTTCTACATAGAGAGACAATAGAACTGAAAATCGGAAAAAAGCCAGAAAGATAGTAAGGTGCGCCAAATTCAAACTTCGAGCAGTTGATAGATTTGCTTTAAACACACATCATTCGATAGAGCTCGACGAGCTCTACAAGAATATCACCTTGAA